TGAGACTCCTATCTCCAATAAACCACCAGAAAACCGGAAGTGGCGCTGTAGCTCAAGTGGTAGAGCGCTTGCCTTGAGCTGAAGAACTGAGGGACAGCACCCAGGCCCAGAGGTCAAGCCCCACGACCGACAAAAAAAAAAAACAAGATTCAATCTCTCTCTCTCTCTCTCTCTCTCTCACACACACACACACAAATAAAGCTTAACATTCAATCTCACATACACATACACAAAGAGAAAGCTTAAGTAAGATTCAATCTTTACAACTTTTAAAACTAATGAGAAGCCGGGTATGGTGGCTCACGCCTATAATCCTAGCTACTTTGGAGGCTGAGATCTGAGAATCTTGGTTCAAAGCCAGCTGGGGCAGGAACAGTTGTGAGACTCTTAATGCCAATAAACTACTCAGAAAACCGGAAGTGGCACTGTGGTCCTAGTGGTAGAGTGCTAGGCTTGAGCTGAAGAGCTGAAGGACAGCACCCAAGCCCAGAGTTCAAGCCCCAGGACTGACAAATAAATTAAACAACAACAACAACAAAAAAAAAAAACTAATGAAGAAAAAAAAAAAAACACGGCAAACTCCTGAAGCAAAAAATGTTTTATTTTAAACTATTAGGTTTTTCGGTACGTATGAAAAATTCCAAAACACTGGACATACAGAGATGTTCGCACATTTCATTATCCTAGAAAATATGATGTGCCACTTGTGAAAATCACTAATATGCTTATTTCCCCCCCACACCCTTCCCCGAATGCATTCGATCCGCTTTTAATCAGTTTCGTCTTGGAACATTAAGTAGGTTTAGAATTTTTATATTATTGCTTAATAGTTTCCTAATAAGGTTTTGGCTGTCGGCTTGGCCTGCACACAAGATGCTTTTCAGTGTGTTCACCACGGCGGTGGCTTTCCACCTCATCTCTGGGGGCAGGTACTTCACATCCAGATATTCCCACAGCCTAGGTCTAGAGTCGTATAGCGTGTTAATGACCGTGTCCATGTCGGCCACCCCATTGCCGGCCCGTCCTCCTGCGAAGATTGGTGATCGATACATCTTCTCCAGCCTGCGTTCTGCTGCGGCAGCCAGCGCCAGGCTGCGCTTCAGGTACTCCCTGGAAGCCCGGACATACTCCCGGTGCTCCGGGTTGCTGCTGTCCCCCGGGGGCACATGCTGCACCAGGAAGCGAATATCTGAGATCTTCCTCAGAATGTCATCCTTACTCATCATCTGGGGGTGATGATCCACCTCACCAAGCCTCTCTAGGCCGTACTCACCCGAGAGTTGGGGAACGTCCTCCAAGTCTGTGGACATCTCCAAGTCTGTGCGTCTGGCTGTGGTGGTGAAGTGGGTCGTGGTCCAGGAGCGCGTGGTTAGGAGTGTGGTTAGTGGTGTGCTACTTTGCCTGGCAGTTGGCTCAGGCTGGGGCTGGGGCTGGGGCTGGGGCTGAGGCTGGGGCTGGGGCTCTGGCTCCGGCTCTGGTTCCTTTTCGACAAAAGGTTCATTTGTACGTAAGACGACAGAAATATTGTTTGGCTTGATGGACCAAAAAGCCGTGGTGGTGTCCGTCTTCTTCTTCTTCTGGGTGGGTGGTGACCCTTCTGTGGCAAAAGGCACGTTGTCTGGGCTCACAGAACTGATGGCAGTGTTTTGCTCTGGTGGAGACCCGGGTGAGCTCTTCCTTGCCTGCCATGGTGCCTTCGATCCTGTAGAACGAACATTTTTTGCAGACGTCGATTTGTCCTCGGTGTCTGGCTCCCTAGTGGGGACACTTAGTAGCAGGTTCTCTAAGATTTGTACATAATGATGCAAGTTTTGCTCTTCATCGGGCGACACAGTTAGACCTAGGGGGGGGGCGGGGAGACCAAATGAAGAATTAAGAATTAAGTGATCAAATGAAGAATTAAATGACAATTACTGCAGTGGCACTGTGACAGACCTTACTGACCCAAATACGCCTCCAGGTTGTCACTTGGAAGTTGAAATAAAGAACCAAGGAGCACAGCTTCTTTGACACAGGGTCTAAGCTCACTTTAAAACAACAACAAAGCAGGGTGCTGGTGGCTCATGCCTGTAATCCTAGCTACTTAGGAAGCTGAGATCTGAGGATCTCGGTTCAAAGCCAGCCCGGGCAGGAAAGTCCGTGAGACTCTTATCTCCAATAAACCACTTGAACACTGGGAGTGGCACTGTGGCTCAAGCGGTAGAGCACTCGCCTTGAGCTGAAGAGCACAGGAACAGCACCCAGGCCCAGAGTTCAAGCCCCACGACCGACCAAAACAACAACAACAAAATGTTGCCGGGCACCTGTAACTCACACTTGTAATCCCAGCTACTCAGGAGGCTGAGATCTGAGGATCGTGGTTCAAAGCCAGCCTGAGCAGAAAAAAACAAGACTCTTATTGCAATTAACCATCAAAAAAAAAACAAAAACAGAAGTGGAGCTGTGACTCAAGGGGTAGAGTGCCAGCCTTCAATGAAAAAACCTCATGAACAGCATCTGGGAGCTGAGTTCAAGCCCTAAGACCAACACACACACACACAGCTTGCTATGTATACTTGTATTTACAAGGCTTACTGACCTAATCTAGAGTTTTCCTGAAGGAAAATAGTGAGAAAAATGAATAGGCAGCTTTAGCATAGCAGAACCAGAATCTCTGAATTATTTACTGATAAAATTATATAACGTCTAGAATTTGCGTCTAAATAACCCAAGCCCTAGAAATCGGGGTGGGGGTGTGGATGGAAGAATAGAGACACACGATTGTTTGAGGGTTGATTGTAGTTGGAGCTAGTTATAGCTAGATGGGAATTATATGCCATTTTCTACTTGGGTTGGTAACTACATTGGCCTATAATGAAATGTTTGAAAGATCTGGGAAAGTCGTCAGCAAGTCTAAAATACACAATCATCATGTAAGGAGATGCTGCCTGTAGCTTGGGGCCTGTGAGCCACCTGATTTTCATATCATTTGTCTTGTTTCTTCTCAAGAGTAATAAACAGGGCACCTAGGTTAGATATTAGTTAAGTCTGGGTATCAAACAGCAGGAAAAAGAGGTGCTTATGGATAGTTGCTTTCTTTTATTTTCCCTTATTATCCCCTTCTTCGGTTACCCAGCAACACCAGTTCCTGGCTGCCTAGCAACAGGAGCTACCTCCCACCTTGCCTCTCCTCCCTTCTCAATGTCCTCTTGGCCTCCATCTCGTTCTGTTCTTAAGTCTGTCCCCTCTCCCACACTTCGGCCTCATGCCTTTATCCTCCAGAACATCTGTGCACTTCCTAGCGATCTCCATTCTGTTGAATCAGGTCTGCTCTTTAAAAATCTTTGTTTGAAAAAAAAAAATGGTTGCAGACAAGGTAGCAAAGACAGCCTTAAGTATCCATACTCCTGGCCCTGGCTACTGCAAAGTCCTGTTTCCTTCCACTCTTTAGGAGTTGCTAGAAAGCTGGACAAAATTCAGATGCTTTCACAGACTACCCTGCTGGCAGTCGGGTTCCTCTGCCTGGGTTACTTTTTAGGCTACTCTAGTCTAAGATCTCCTCTGTTCTTACCAGCTAGGGATCCTGGCAATCAAGGAAGAATCTGGCCAACTTGGGACTGCAGAGTGGCATTGCCCTTGTGCGCCCCCTGCAGGCAGGATGGTGGTGAGCCCACTTTGTGGTGGACTCAAGATTTTTTTCTTTTCTTTTTCTCCAATCCTGGGGCTTGAACTCAGGGCCTGCGCACTGACTGCGAGCTTCCTTTGCTCAAGGATAGCACTCTACCACTTGAGCCTCCATGCCACTTCTGGCTTTCTCTGTTTATGTGGTACTGAGGAATTGAACCCAGGGCTTCATGCATGCTAAGTAAGCATTCTAGCACTAAGCCACATTCCCAGCCTGGGCTCAAGATTTTACTGAAATCAGAGTTGGGGGCTAACACATGAGCTTGAGTTGCCCAAATTTGTCTTCTGCAAGCAGGACAAGGAGACTCATCACATGATGGAAACGATAAGCAAGAGTACGGGTTTGTGTTTTCTGCTTTGTTTTGTGACAATATGGGGGCTTGAACTTGGGCCTGGGTACTGTCCCATAGCTTTTTTTTTCACTCTGTCTGTCACTTGAACCACAATTCCATGTCTAGCTTTTTGTAATTCATTGGAGACAAGAATCTCATGGATTTTCCACTCTGGCTGGCTTTAAACCACAATCCTCAGCTCTCAGCCTCCTGAATAACTGAGATTACAGGCGTGAGCCACCACATGGCATGTATTTGTTCTTTAAAAAGAATATACCGTTGAGTGCCAGTGGCTCATGATTGTAATCCTTGCTACTCAGGAGGCTGAGATCTGAGGATCATTGTTCTAAAACATCCCCAGGGAAGTCTATGAGAGTCTCATCTCCAATTAGTCACCAGAAGGGGAGCTTTGGCTCAAGTGGTAGAGAACTATCCTTGAGCAAAAACTAAAATAAAACTCAAGAATAGCATGTAGACCCTGAGTTCTAGCCTCAGGACCAGCATACACACACATAACACAAAAAGAATACAACTTAAGCTCAAGTGGAAAGTTAAAAGTCAAGAAGTAATCTAATGAATAGTAATACTAAACTATAATTGGAGGGGCTGGGAAGGTGGCTCAGTGGTAGAGCGCTTGCCTTGCATGCCTGAGACCCTGGGTTCGATTCCTCAGCACCACATAAGCAAAAAGAAAAAAGCCGGAAGTGGTGCTGTGGCTCAAGTGGTAGAGCACTATCCTTGAGCTGAAGAGCTGAGGGACAGTGCCCAGGCCCAGAGTTCAGGCCCCACAACCAGACCCAAAAAAATAAAATAAAATAAAATATAATTGGAACTAAAATGAATTATTGACTTCATCTCTTCTGGCAATGCATCCAAACTTAATAAAGGGTATATAGGTAAAATCTATAGCCAACATTATATTAAACAGGGGAAAAAATAATATTATTTCCCTTACAGTCAGAAATAAGATAAGGATATCCATTCTTACTCAGTTTGGTAGTAGAGTTTCTAGCCAAAGCAATAAAGCAAGAGAAAGAAATAAACTATTCTTATTCAAATGGGACTTTATGAAGTCATATTGTCCCTATTTGCAGAGGATATGATCCTATACGTAACAAACCTTACAGACTTTACCAAGAAATCTTCCAGACCTGATAAACAGCTTTGACAACATAGCATAGTATAAAATCAACACTCAAAAAGCAGGAGCAGGAAGTGGCACTGTAGCTCAAGTGGTAGAGCGCCCGCTTTGAGCTGAAGAACTGAGAGACAGAGCCCAGGCCTAGAGTTCAAGCCCCATGACTGACAAAAACAAAAAAAGCAGGAGCATGGGCTGGGAAGGTGCCTCAGTGGTAGAGTACTTGCTTTGCATGTATGAGGCCCTGGGTTCGATTCCTCAGCACCAAGCAGAAAAAGCCAGAAATGGTGCTGTGGCTCAAATGATAGAACACTACCCTTGAGCTGAAGAGCTAAAGGACAGCACCCAGGTCCAGAGTTCAGGCCCCATGACTGGAAAAAACAAACAAAAACAAAATGCAGGAGCTAGCCTGGTGCTGGTGGCTCATACCTGTAATCCTAGCTACTCAGGAGGCTGAGATACTCGAGGATTGCCGTTTGAAGCCAACCCAGGCAGAAAAATCCCCACGAGATTCTATCTCCAATAAACCACTCAAAAATCACAAATGGTGCTGTAGCTCAAGTGGTAGAACACTAGCACTAGCAGGCTAAATCAAGAAAACAATTCCACTCACAAAACAACAACAACAACAAAAAACCTCAAGCTTTAACTTAACCAAAAAAACTACAAAACAATGAAAACTACAAAACTTTGGAGAAAGAAGTTGAAGAAGACCTCAGGTGATGGAAAGACCTCCCATGTTTGTGGATTGGCAGGAGTTAACAGCGGGAAAATGTCCACATTGCCAAAAGACAACCTGTAGATTCAGTGCAGTACCCATCAATGTTCTGATGTCATTCTTCACAAAAATAGGGGGGAAATCATTCTAAAAATGTATACAGAAACATAAAAGACATGGGATAGCAAAAGCAATCCTGGGCAAAAAGAGCAAAGCTGGAGATAAATCACAGTATCAGACTTCAAATTATACTACAGAGCCATGGTAACAAAAACAACATGCTAATGGCACAGAATAGAAGATCCAGGAGTAAAACTACACAGCCACAAGCCTAGCTGATTTTCAACAAAGGAGCCAACAATTTCCACTGGAAAAAAGACAGCCTCCCCACAAACAGTGCTGGGGAAACTAGCCTATCCACCTGCAGGCAGTTTGAAGCCAGTCCCAGTACACAAATCTGACTCTTATCCCCATTTAGACAGCAAAAATCCAGAGTGGAGGTGTGGCTCACATGATACAGCACCAGCCATGAGCATGAGAGTGAAGCACTCTGAGTTTAAGCCCCAAGACCAGCACAAAAATAGAACGAAAGGGGCTGCAAAGGTGGCTCAGTGGCAGAGTGCTTGCCTTACATGCATGAGGCCCTGGGTTTGATTCCTCAGCGTCACATAAACAGAAAAGGCTGGAAGTGGGGATGTGGCTCAAGTGGTAGAGCACAAGCCTTTGAGCTGAAGAGCTGAGGGACAGCACCCAGGCCCAGAGTTCAAGCCTCACAACCAACAAAAAAAGAAAAAAGAGGGAGAGAAGAGAGAGAGAAAGAGAGAGAGAGAGAGAGGAGGAGAAGGAAGGAAGGAAGGGAGGGAGGGAGAGAGGAAAGGAAGGAAGGAAGGAACTCCCTAAAGACTAGGACTAAATCTGGTCATCTGAGACACTTCATCCAAAAGTATTTTAACTTTTTCCTACTACTTTTCATGATCATTGGGTTATGTTGTTCTTTCTTTCTTTCTTCCTTTCTTTCTGCAATTCTGAACCACAGCTCAGTGTCATTACAATGCCCTGTGTTACTTTTTCACACCTACCAATTGAATTTTATCGATCAGCTTGGTGAAACCAATCTCCAACACCATTCATCTCCATCACCACTATGCTACGACCAACTCCAGTTAGGGGAGACCGGCCGGCCTCTTTGGGAAACAGAAATTTAAGAGCGTCCTGCCCAGGCTGTCCGGCCAAACAGAGTCCTGACCCCTGGTTCTCAACTTTCACCCCAAGGGTTGATCCATCCACACCACCCTGTTCGGGCCCCTGGGCGGAGGGAGCATGCCAGCCGCATGGCCAAGGCCGCGCCTGGGCCGACGCCCTGACGGTGAGCCAGAGGGGACTAGGGGGGAGAAGGGCTCAACCTGGAGCATCCGGAGCCCTTCCTGGGGAGCCCCGGGACCACCGATCCCGGCTGGACACTCACTCACTCGAATGTGCTGGAAGGGGCGCAGGCCACAGCAACAGCACGGCTAGAAGGACCACGGACGTCATGGGAGCGGTCTGCAGCGCTCCGCCATGCGATGGAGACGTCCTGGGGCCACCGGGCCGGGCACCGCGGGGCCGGAAGGGAGTGTCAGCGGCCGACAGTCCCACCGCAGGGCCCCGGGCGCCCCAGCAACGGTTGTCACCAGTGGGTGTCGCGGGCGCGGGCGCTGCACGCGTGGGGCGCGGGAGCCAGGTGGGCGCCGACTCCCTGGAGACGCTCTGGCTGCGCTCTACCGGCTCGCTGGAACTTGAGGGGTGCACGCTGGAGTTTGGGGGTTGCACGCTGGAGTCTGGGGGTGCAGGTGGAGTTTGGGGGATGCACACTAAAGTTTGGGGTGCCCAGTAGAGTTTGGGGCGCAAGATGGGGTTTGGGGTGCACGGTGGAGTTTGGGGGTGCTGGTGGAGTTTGGGCATGCACACTAGAGTTTGGGATGCATGGTGGAGTTTGGAGTGCAGGTGGAATTTGGGCATACACACTGGAGCTTGGTGTGTCCGGTAGTCTTTGGGGTGCATGGTGGTGTTTGGGGTGCACGGTGGTGTCTGGGGTCCACGGTGGATTTGGGGGTGCCCGCCGCAGTTGGGGTGCACGTGGGGGGCTCCACGGCGATCACTGGCCTCGGCTGTGGGGTTTGCTGGCTGGGTGCATGCCAGATGCTCTCCCGAGTTTAGGGGTTCGTGTTCATGCTCGCTGGCACAGCGCGTGGGGGTGCCGGGCATCTGTCTGCTTCTAGGGACTGCGCCGGTCCCCGGTGCAGACCCACAGCCGGTGGAAGACATTGCCCGAGGGCAGAGCACGAAGAGTCCGTTATACCGTGTGAATCCCGCTCAGAAAACCCCAACGTCGTAGGTGGGGGTGAGGTGTCAGGAAGGAGGAAGGCACAGAGCTTCCCGGAGCCCAGAGCTCCAGCTGCTTGGGGTTGGGAAGTTCAGGATCAAGGAGCTGGCAGATTGCCCCCCTTTCCCCCCCCCCAACCAGGGGAATCTTTCTTCTTTGCTCAGAAGTGGCCATGTTCAAGTCCTCACCTGAAGCCTTTGCCAGAATCCAGAACACCTCAGGTCCCTAACACGGGGTTTCATCTTGAAGGACCAACCTCATCCAATCGGGTATCATAGTGCCAGGTCCTGGTGGCTCACACCTATAATCCAGCTTCTCAGGAGGCTGAGATCTGAGGATCATGGTTCAAAGTCAGGCAGTTCGGGCAAAAAACGTCTGTGAAACTCTTGTCTCCCAATTACCCAGCACAAAGGCAGATGTGGAGGTGTGACTCAAGTGGTAGCATGCCAGTCTTCAGCAGAAAAAGCTAACCAAGGGCACCAGGCCCTGAAGTCAAGCCCTAGGACCAGCACGCGCGCCTGCACGCACACACACACACACACACACACACGCACACAGAGATGGTGCCTTTTTTTTTTAACCTTTCCTCATTCTTAGTGGAGAGAGAAGGGGTTGTACTTCACTCCTTCCCTGTCTCATGCTGGGGTTTTCCATGTACACCTTCTAATATGTCGTTAAAACCCACTCACAGGGCTGGGAAGGTGGCTCAGTGGTAGAGTGTTTACCTTGCATGCTTGAGGCCCCTGGGTTTGATTCCTCAGCACCACATAAGCAGAAAAAGCCAGAAGTGGCGCTGTGGCTCAAGTGGTAGAGCGCTAGCCTTGAGCTGAAGAGCTGAGGGACAGCACCCAGGCCCCAAGTTCAGGCCCCATAACCAGCAAAAAAACAAAAACAAAAAATTCATACTTACTGTCTGCTCCGTCTAACCCAGTGGATTTCTGTAAACAGACTGTGTTTCTCCTCTTCCCCACTCCCCCGCCCCTCAAAAAATAAAGAGGCATATTGGAATAGTCTTCCATCACTGCACACTTGTCCTCCTCCTAGGACCAGCTCTGACTGTGGCCTTCATGTGCTTGACCTCAGATCTCAAGTGTCACTTCCTAGCAGCATTGAAATTCAATATGCACTTCAATGACTGAGTGACCCCTCCAGTGCATCTTTCTTAACCATCCAATCCATGCACAGCCTCATAAAAGGAAGAGTACCCGTACGGCTGCCAGAGGAGGGCTTCAGCCACGAGAGGGCAGAAGAGGCTTACAGATCGATGGTATGGCTTTGACAACTATTTCAATGTATCCCTGGATTTTGACTCCGCTTAGCTATTGTGTGTTTGTTTCACTGGCATGCCTGACATAACACACAACACACACCAAATAGTCTATGCTAACGTGTAAAACAGCTTAATAAGAATAATCAGGAAGTGGTGCTGTGGCTCAAGTGGGCAGATCACTTACCTTGAGCTGAAGAGCTGAGTGACAGTGCCCAAGCCCAGAGTTCAAGCCCCATGACCAGCAAAAAAGAATAATCATTGTGCTCCAAAAGATTTTTTTTTCTGTGCAGACTGCCTAGAGTCTTTCCCCAGCTCTTAAAGCCCATCCCTAGCTAGGTATATTGCAAATAGTCCTGGAAAGAGGTCAGTTTGCATAACTCAAAGGCCTGCTGTCTCAGAGAGTGCCCTCTTCTGGAAGGTTCTGTCCTGCTTCAGGTAGGAAAATGTTCGTTTTTCATTTTCCAGTACTAAGGTTTGAACTCAGGACCTTATGCTCTTGCTTGGCTTTTTCACCCAAGGCTGGTGCTCTGCCACTTGAGGCACAGCTCTGCTTCAGGCTTTTTGCTCAATAATTGGAAAGAGGAGTCTCATGGACTTCTCTGCCCAGACTGGCTTCAAAACCATGATCCTCCCTAAAGTATTGTTTCTTAATGTGACACGAATCAGATCTGAAAACACTTTGGAAGGAGAAAACTTTAACAAATGAGTGAAAAACAAAACCAAACTTTCTCTTCACTCACACCTTCCCTCCAACCAAGTTATGACCTCTCCACTAGGTGGAGTGAGTTCCTAGTCTCCAGGTCTCCATGTCTCCCCGAGGTCGGTGGCCAGGTCAGTGGCCAGCTTAGTGTGAATTCCTGGACTTCCAGCTCATTAAGGACACGCTGACTTTCCAGTTTGCTGGCTGAATCAGACAGCAGTGTTTCAACCTTCATGTCTTCACACTGAAGAGAAGCAGCTGCTCTGTCTAAACCTCTTGTCCTCACTCTAAACACCTGCCCTCCACTCTCCATCCCCCCAAAATAAAATCCAGAACCCCTGCCTTACTAGCTCCCTGCAATCTCAGATAGCATCAGTGCTAAATTACAGGAGAGGGATTGATGCAGACCAGCAGGGGGCGCACAAACACCACCACAGGCCAGGGGGACACAGCTGCCTAAGGATCTAAGGATCTCCAGGCTCAGGTTCTTATCTTCAGTGGCAATTGTAGACAGGGTGTTTTTCACCTTTGGTTTTGAAGGACACACACACACACACACTTTAGCACTTTGAACAGCAACTACGTCAAAGATCATGATGGTTATATAACGATTCAAAAATAATACAGATGCCCGACATTGGTGGCTCATACCTATAATCCTAGCTACTCAGGAGACTGAGATCTGAGGATCGCTGTTTGAAGCTGGCCTGGACAGGAAAGTCTGTGAGAGTCTTACCTCCAATAAACTACTCAGAAAAAGTCAAGAGTCTTACGGACTTTCTTCTTTGGTGGTAGAGCACTAGTCTTGAGCACAAAGAGGCTCAGAGACAGTGTCCAGGTCCTGAGCTCAAGACCCAGGACTGGAATGATAATAATAATAATAATAAGGCTGCAAGTGAGATTTGTCTCTGGCCAGCTTTCCTACCCTCCAGGCTCAGTTAGGGTTTCATCAGCTAGTAGGAGTGGGGGCAGGGGGTGGATGCAGGAGGTAGAGGTGATAAATACTCATTGGAAATGCTGGTTGAAAATTTAATTGTTGCTGGGCTCCAGTGGCTTAGACCTGTAATCCTAGCTACTCAGGAGGCTGAGAACTGAGGATTCTGGTTTAAAGCCAGACTGAGCAGGAAAGTCCATGGGACTCTACAATTAAACACCAAAAAGCAGAAAGTTGAGCTGTGACTCAAGGGGTAGAGTGCTAGCCTCAAGTGAAAAACCTAAGAGACAATGCCAGGCCCTGAATTCAAGCCCTAGTCTCAGCACCAAAATAAATAAATGTATAAATAAATGTTAATTGTTCAATTTTATAAAGTTACAAATACAAAAATAATTTAAAATATCAATCATTCTCTTATTCTCCTTATTAACCCAGCAAGTTGGTTTTTTTTTTCCCCCCCCGGTTGTGGGGCTGTCCATCAACTCTTCAGCTCAAGGCTAGCACTCTACCACCTGAGCCACAGCATCACTTCTGCTTTTTTCTGCTTATGTGGTGCTTAGGAATCGAACCCAGGGCCTCATGCATGCAAGGCAAGCACTCTACCACTGAGCCGCCTTACCAGTCCTAACCCAGCAATTTTTAATAATAATGTATAAGGTGCTTAGATTACTTTGGGACCTATTTTCAAATATAATTAAATGCCATAATTATTTCATATCAAATTTTGAAATTCAAGGTAGTCAGTATCTTTTTCAAAGTATTTCAATGATCTCATTAACTTTAAAGAAACCCTTTCCAAGTATTACTTAATACTAACCTAGTAAGTTAACTATAAATGTTTTAAATGCATTGAATTATTCCACTACCATTTATAAAATGAACAAGCTTTAGACAAAAAATAACAAGTATAAACCAATTACTCACTGATATAGTATAAGGTAGAATTGAAAATCAGGCAAAGCAAAGTCCATCAAGCATTACAAATATCTAATGTATTGAGTGTAAATTCATTCATACATAAATATTAATACTGCTTACTCAACTTCTATGTCAATATACTTATTTCTCACTATTGTGTGTGTGTGTGTGTGTGTGTGTGTGTGTGTGTGTGTATGCATGCATCAGTACTGGGACTTGAACTCAGGGCCTGAATTTCTTTTGCTTAAGGCTGGAGCTCTGCCATTTGAGCCTAGCTCCACTTTCAGCTTTTGGCAATAAACTGGAGCTAAGAGTCTAGCCGGGCGCTGGTGGCTCACGCCTGTAATCC